ACAGCAGAAGACGCGAGCCAGGCCCCGGGCGATGACCTCTCCCCCTTCGCCGCCTCCAGTCTTTGAGATCTCCACCCATAACCGCTTTGCTCCCCTCTTCGAGACGGAATGCGATGGTGTGATCGTCGGAGACTCCATCGTCCGGCACGTCCGTGCTACATTAGCCGATCTGCGCAGATACCCGCGATCCTGAAGGGCGACGAGAGCCCCGGAGCGGTCGTGCTTCACGCCGGGCTTAATGACACCAAGCTGCGGCAGATGGAGACACTGAAGAGGGACTTCATGAGCCTGATCGAGATTATCATGTCAGGACCGCTTCCCATGTATAGACGAGGACACGAAAGGTTCAGTAGACTTTTTGCTTTAAATGAATGGTTATTTTCATGGTGTAAAGAACAAAAACTGCTCTTTGTCAATACTAAATATTAAAGCACAAAAGTGTCCTATAGCTGTAAAGCACTGCAGTTTATCTTTTGGTGCGATGAATGAAGCTGAAGTATTATACGCTGTAGAATCTACATTTGTTATTGTATTTCTGATGTTATCTATTTTATCAGTGAAGCAATTCATAAAGTCATTACTATTAAACTGTGAGGGAATATTTAGATTGGGTGGCGTCTGGTTATTTGTTAATCTAGCCACTGTGCTAAATAAAAACCTAGGATTGTTTTGGTTATTTTTTTTGAGTTTGTGGATATGCTCGGCCCTGGCAGCTTTTAGAGCCTGTCTATAGCTGGACATACTGTTTTTCCACGCAATTCTAAAAACTTCCAAGTTAGTTTTTCTCCATTTGCGCTCAAGACTACGAGTTTTTTTTCTTGAGAGAATGGGTATTACTGTTGTACCATGGCGCAGTACGTTTTTCTCTTATACATTAGAAGCTGTTGCCCCCATGAAATTGAAAAAGGTTAGAGAAAAACGTACTGCGCCATGGTACAACAGTAATACCCATTCTCTGAAAAAAGAAACTCGTAGTCTTGAGTGCAAATGGAGAAAAAATAACTTGGAAGTTTTTAGAATTGCGTGGAAAAACAGTATGTCCAATAGACAGGCTCTAAAAGCTGCCAGGGCCGAGCATATACATAAACTCATAGAAAGTAACCAAAGCAATCCAATGATTTTATTTAGCACAGGGGCTAGATTAACAAATAACCAGACGCCACCCGATCTAAATATTCCCTCACAGTTTAATAGTAATGAATTTATGAATTTCTTCACTGATAAAATAGATAACATCAGAAATACAATAACAAATGTAGATTCTACAGTGTATAATACTTCAGCTTCATTCATTGCACCAAAAGATAAACTGCAGTGCTTTACAACTATAGGACAGGAAGAGCTAAAAAAAACTTATTACTGCATCAAAACCAAAAACAAGCCTGTTAGATCCTGTACCCACTAAATCAGTGGTTCTCAAACTTTTTACAGCGGCGTACCCCCTGGGGCATTTAACATTCTTCTGCGTACCCCCTCTCTTCCACTTAGACCGCAGTCACACCTTTTCTATTAAATAACAATATTTGCACCCTTAAATTGATTTACAGGTGCATTCTTTACCTTTATAGAGGCAAATATTTTCTATCCTTATTAATTGTATGTCATGTTTTATGTCATTGTAACGAATCATCCACTGAAGGCGAAAATAGTGAAGAACCCAATTGCAGTTTATTTACAGAGTGATCCAAACAATAATCCGAGACTTGTCGAGGCATGAAACAGACTTGACATGAACAGACTCGACGTGGCATGAACAGACTAGACTCACAGACAGCAGGTTACAACAGCAATACACGACAAGGGCACAATGGGAACATGAAGGCTACTTATAGCAGACAAGGAGGGTCACATGACATGAACAAACCAATGGGGAACAAGACACATGACTAAGACTACCAATCAGAACATGACACATACACAAGGCAGAGAGACATGAGGCAAGGGAAGCATGACACTAACATCAGGAAACAATTACAAGATGTCTTAATGTCAAAATGTCATGAATATGAAACAAAACCCAAACACAAAACCCCACATTACATATCCCCCCCTCTAAGGGTGGCTCCAGACGCCCCAAACAAAACCCAAAAAGTCCAGGAGGGTGGTGGAGTGGAGGCGGAACTGGGGAAGGGATGGAGGGCCAGGCCCATGAAGCGGAAAAGGCAGAGCAAGGAGCCATGGCGGCGCAGGCCGAGAGGGGGGCCATGGCGGAGCAGGCAGAACAGGCGGCCATGACGGGGCAGGCAGAGCAGGGAGCCATGACGGGGCCCAGGCCACAGCCATAATAGCGGCCCACGGTGGAGCCGACGGAGGGAGGAGCCATGGAGGAGGAATGTCCACCGATTCCAGGGGGCCGACCAACGGCGGCAGAGCAGGTGGTGGAGTAGCCCGAGGCGGAGACGGAGAGCCAACGAGCCAGGGGGATGCCGAGGATCCGGGGGGCCAGGGTGGTGCCGAGGGCTCTGGCGACCAAGGCGGAGGCAGAGATCCGGAGATCCGCAGCGGAGCCGGAGCGACTGAGGACCAAGGTGGAGCTGGCGGGAGGAAGGAGCCCAACGGAGCCGGTGAGACAGAGCGAGCAGATTTACGTTACAAACTTATAGAATTGTACAGTAAGAAGGTTATTTCCTTTAACCAGGAAATTAACGTTCTTAGAATTGACAAGACGGTTGACCCTGAGTGGTCAGCTAAATATCTACAGTGGATCTAAAATATGAATAGTTAATTATAACTAGTTATGGTTAATTATTCATATTTCCCATGAGCTGATTCGCTACATAGGAAAGGCCTCAGGGACAGACTCATAGGCAAGAGAGGTCACTGGGGCAGATTCATAGACAGGAGAGGCCTCAGACGCAGACTCGTGGACAGCAGAGGACTCTGGAGCGCAGTGTGCAGCCCACACGCTCAAAATGGCGACCGCCATTACCGGAAGGGCAGCAGAGTGTGGCAGGACCTCTAAGACAGCGGGGCTTGAGAGCGCTGACGTCACCGGGATGCCTGCAGCTCGCACCGACATCAGAGGTGGGTCCATCACACTAGCAATCAGTCTTTTTAGTCTTGGCCCAAGCTCCGCGTCCGACTCAGGTGTGGCGGCCATCTTGGCCGGGGACTCAGGCTTAACAGGAGCAGACTCTGAAATGGCGGCCATTTCATGATGAAACTCTGGAAGATCAGCTGAGACATGATGAGACTCTAGAAGGGTGGCCATTTTGTGAAGAGAGTCCTGTTGGCGGCCATCTTTCAACGAAGCTCTTCAATGGCGGCCATATTGTGAAGAATTTCTTGAGTGACCGGCATGATGTGAGCAGGCTCTGGTTTGGCAGACGTGACGTGAGCAGGCCCTGGGGCAGAAGACATGACGTTAGCAGACTCTGGCTTGGCAGACAGGATGTGATCAGGCTTTGACTTGGTAGACATGACATGAGTAAACTTTGACTTAACTGGCATGATTTGAGCA